ATTTTTGTAGTAGGCAAGGGTTAGATTTTCTATCGGGTTTTTATAACTTGATGGTAGAATTTTCATATGCTATGCTGTGACCCGATTGTTTGGTTTGGGTGACAGCTTTTTGGGGTTTAGTTATCCAGTAATTCTTCTCTGCCAAATTCAACAGAGGAGAGATTAATCTAAGATACAGTAAACTCACCATTATCCGGCACTCTTAGGCAACTGGTGGCTTGATGCACATTAAGGCTTGGTTCACACCTAGGCATTTTTGAGCAGTAGAAAAAGCGCTTCAAAATAGTGCTGAAACTATTGATTATTTTCATAATCGATTAGCTGACCAATTTATTAATTTTTATTTATTTTCCGATTTTAATCCGATACATTTTTTTAAAATACCATCTTTTATTTAAAATACACAAATGGAGTGTTACAAACGTAAAGTTTACTTGTTTACTTCAAAATAAAACTGCATGCACAATTCTTTGCAATCCCATTGCAATGCATGGCATTGCAGTACCACATGTTCCAGTGCAGGGGCAATCGCACTGCGGGTGTGAGGAGCGTTGGTGTGCCATTGAAATGAATGGTAGCACAACTTACTTTAACTTTTCTTCGCTGCTTTTACCCGGGGTGGCTCACAATCCCCCTATGTGATTTTGGAGGTGACAGGTTCCCTTTAAGGGGGCATTTTGGGTCTGTTACCCCTCATGTCACCTATCCAGTTCAAAGAAGCTATTCATTCGCGCTTGAATAGCTTCAGCCAGGGAGAGGACAACTGCCAGCGGCATGGTTTCAGCAGTCGGCAGCTAAATGTAAACGCAGCAGGCAGTGGGCGGTGCAATAGCCATCCTGTTATTGGCTATTTCAAGTTGCAATAGTAGGCTGGCTATTGCACCCTCCCACTGCCTGCTGTCAATCAGCAGAGGGACCTGAAGGAGAAAGTTCTCTTTCAGGTCTGTGCCTCTGCTGATTGAAAGCAGGCAGTGGGTGGGTGCAAGAACGAGCCTGCTATTGCAGTTTGAAATGGCCAATAGCAGGCTGGCTGTTGCACCCAATGTAGAGTCACAGTAGCGTTGGCTGACAGCCTGTCTCTCCTCCCTCCCCGCTGGGCATGGGCTGCAGCGGTCTGTGTCCCTGCTGCCTCTACTGATACAGATGGGGGAGAGCAGCAGGGATCGGAGGGGACACAAAGCACAGCATGCTGCGGGCTCCCAGAGCGGAGGAGAGAGCTGCATAGTGGCGGTGGGTGGTGTTGGTTTGGGGAAGCTCTCCTCACCACTGGACACTGGCTGCAGGGGTTAGGGCTACAGAGCTGATTAAACACTGGCTCCCAACGCAGAGGAGAGAACTAGGGGATACACACCAACTAATCGATTATGAGAATCGTTGACATTATCAATTATTATTGTTTTAGGTGGTTGCAGCACTACTTAAAAACATCCAACACAAGAAATCCCATGATTTTCATTGGCCCTGTTCAAAATGCCAAATGCAAAAAAAGTACATGAGCTTCTTTTGGCAGTTTGCAGCTCGTTTTTCCCCAATAGACTTCAATGGAAATACTGGGAAGCATGCAAAGTTCGTCCATTGACCCAATGTCTCTTAAGCTGCCAGTCAAACGCGTGTCTTCATGTGCGCGTGTTTACATCTTACTGCCGGTCGACGGCCAGATCCCGCGCTTGGCAGCAGAATGTAAACAATGGGTAGCAATAGCCAGCCTGCTATTGACCATTTCAAATTGCAATAGCAGGCTGGCTATTGCACCTGCCTACTGAGCAGAGGAGCGGACCTGAGAGAGAACTTTCTTTCTCAGGCCAGCTCCTCTGCTCAGTAGGGGGGGCTTCAATAGCGAGCCTGCTGTTGGCTATTGCAATTTTAAATGGCCAATAGCAGTCTATCTATTTAGGTCCCTTAGTTGTTTAGAGACTTTGAAGATATTTGAGGACGCTGAATGTTTTTGATAAAACTTACAACAAGAATGCAGTTTGCGATGGCCCTGGTTTGTGCGTTCTTTTAAATTTCTTAAATGTGTGGTGTTCTCTTGGCTTAGTTGTTTTACATGCTGGTTTGTGAGTGTGCCATGATGCCTTTCTACTGTTCAAAGCCCATTTCGTGTGCACCTTACTGTATAACTGGTAACAAAATTGTTGAGTGCGTTTGTCGTTTGTTTTGCTCTTGGCTATATAAACACAAGGTTTTTTTCATAATAGGATAAACTTGCATATATTTCTATGTTCTTTTCATACTTTTTGAAGTACTATCATAACTTTTTTTACAATGTCCCATATTAATAATATATTTGGAGATAATAATCGTTATTTTCACCCCTATAATAACCGTTGCAGTGCAGGGGGTAACCCCCACAAGAGTTAGTTTGGTCATTCCTGGAGTTCCTCTTTTTAATGTAGCTTTTTTTTTCTTCTTCTAAATCTCTGTTAGGGTTACTCCATTTGCCAGTAATGGTTTCCTTTACTGATTGACCTCTTAAGTGAGTAATAACATTTAAATAACTGTTTAAGCACATGTGAGTTGAACATGTAAGGCAGTTTGCCACAGTTAATCACACTTCTTAATGAAAAGTAAACATTGTGAAACATGCCTTTGTTGTCAGTGTAAAGCTCAGCACCAAATTATTTTTGTCCTGCTCAAGGGAGTGCAATGTATTTAACAGAACAATTCTGCAATATTAAATTTTTCTTAAGAATGTTTATATTTTTTTGTTTTCATTTTAAGTGCGGCCTGTCCACTTTTTAATTTAAAATGGTACAATACGCACGTACGCGCTGTGAGATTAGATTTCAACGGTAGCATATTAAGGACGGAGTCCACTCGCTTATCACTTCTTTTAAGGGCTTCCTTGCCCACTTTTATTAAATGAACATTCACAAAACTATGTGATTACATTCGCAGGGGTTCTTTATCCCAGAAATACAGGCACATCCAACCTTCTGGCTTTCACTCACAGCACTGCTGCTCTGGCCTCAGGCCACGGTCTGTTCCTCCAGACGGTCTTGTGCTAAACCTGCACAAGAGGTCTCACAACCCCGCAGCTCCCTGCTGCACTGGCCTCCACTCTGACTCCTGGGTGGAGTTCTCCTGACTCACAGGTGGGGGCCCTGAACACATCCCAGCACACTCTTCATGAGGGATGTACACAGGTGCACAATCAGGTGCTGGTCACTACCAAAGCATGGACCCAGGAATGGAGATTTCATCTCTCCCAATTCTCTTAGAAATCTCCCAGTTCCAGGATCCCATGCCAAATCCAGAAATCCTGGGAAGAGCCACATAGTCAGCTCTTTCCCAGTACAAAAACTTGCCTCCTGGAACCGATCAGCCCCTTTTGGATGAGACTCTTGGGTGACTACAAGCCCCGGTTCTACCGTGGGATTAACACAAAATACCACAGCGCATATACGCGCGCAGCAGTGTGAATGAGGTCTTAGATCTATTTATTACTTTGTTTTTATACAATTCACACACTTGTCTACACACACTTGTCTAATTGAATCCAATTTGAAAAATGTGTCAACTTTGGGTAAAAGCTGTGTAAATAAAATAAATAGACCCTAATAGTCCCATTATATTTGGGGGTTATAAATGTCTTTAAAAGTTGAATTTTTGTGTCTGTGTGTGTATGTATATACTTTTTTTTTAAAATAAATAAATGTGGTGTGTGTGTGTGTGTGTGTGTGTATATGTATATATATATATAATTTAAGTTAAAGTGACATTAAAGTCACACATTTTTTCATCCTTTATCTCCCCTCCATGTGGGGGGAGCTTTTATCTTAAAGGAGAACTATGGGGTCAGTGTTTTTCCCCATAGTTCTCCTTAGGGTAACGGGAGGACACAAACTAGCGTCCTCCCGTTACCCTAAGCTCAGTATACTGAGACGCCGGAGCGGATCCCGACATCGATGTCAAGATCCGCCCAGCTGCATGAGTGACAGCTGGCTCTGCCTATCTAGAGGCAGAGGCAGAGCCAGCTGTACCCGCCCCCTCCCACGTCCGTTCCGCCAGTCAGCGCTGGCAGATCGGAGCGGGGAGAGGGGAATCCAGCCCCTCCCCCTGTCACGGCAGACAGCCGTGACAGGATCGAGAGGGGAGCGAACCCGGTATGTTCGCTCACCTCCCGATCTATGTGACAGTCTCATTGTCACAGGTCGGCTAGAACTATGAGGTGAGTGGAAATCACTCATCTCATAGTTCTCCTTTTAAGTGATGCCTCCTCTTGATCCGATCATCTTCCTTCCACTTGTATTGAGAAGTCCCTCCAGAACTGGTGCCGGACTCTGATCCAGCGCAGACTCCTCGGGTCCCACTGTGTCTGTCCGACGTTCACGCTCGCGGCTGCGTGCATTCACCTCCGCTGTGTCTCTCCTCTTCTCCCCGTAGAAGATCTCTACTGCGCATGCGCCCGCCCTACCATCCTGCTTGGCCGCTCGAGAAGCTACAGATCTTCAGACAGGAGCAAACGGCGGTAGATATATGCAAAAAAAAAAAGTGTTTAATTATGCTTTAATGATTTTTCTTAATGTGCAGCCATTTTACAACCCATGTTCCCATTTAAATGTATATAAACTGCCAATGGCACATGGCAGTTTTTAGGCAATGTCAACCAGCAATGGGAGACTTGACACACATTTCCAACCTGACTTATAGACCCGTCTTCTGACTGAGGTTTTTTTGTTATCTGCTGCACTGATCTGAATGTAATTTGTAGCCCACCGGTTGTTGACCTAACCTGCTGATAATGGAAGCTGGATTATGAGCATCTAATGTCATTAGGTATTTTATGTAGTTAATCAGCTGTATGATTTTGCTCAGCCTTTTGATTCTGAATTGTAAGATGGTGTCCATTGTGGCATCACACAGCAATTGGGAGTGCTTTATGAACATGTAGGTTTAATGTCCAACTCCAAAAGTGTAAATACAAAAGGTCCAATGTGCCTGTTATGTTACTGTAGCAGTATATGTTTACTAATTCATTTTTTGGTGTGTCATTGTAGATCAATGAGTTAGTGGATGTGCGCGATGTAACCATTGGAGCATGGTTTGAAGCATCTGTTGAAAATGTTACTAGAGCCTCGAAAGGACAGAAAAATGGCAAGGCTCATGGTAAAGGTGGCAACTCTTACAAAGGGACTAATGGCAGCTTAAATGAGGACCATTCCATTGAAAATTCTCACGTTTCGGACTCTGGCCCTTCCACTTCTTTTTCTGATTATGTGGATGATGATGATGTATCTTATTTTATAAAATATGATGAGTAAGTACAGCCTTATGGTGGTAATATTATATATGTGCTAATATTTCATGTGGACAAATCCAATTATGTACCAAACAGTCCTCAGTACATCAGATCGTCAGTGTGCTAGTGTTTTGTTAGGGAACATAGCTCCTTTCCATGTATAGATGTTTGTTTTTATACAATTCACACACTTGTCTAGTTGAATCAGCCTTTACCCATGGGAAGCTTAGACAGAGACTGAATGAAGCCAAGCAAATCTTGTCCTATATTCTTTTTTCAGCCTTTGAGTCTTCCCCAAGGAAAGAAGCAGGTGCTTTCCCCTGTAGGATTCAGATGGACCCTATTGGCAGACATTCTCTGTCCTTAGCTGATGTACTGCAGTGCAGGAACAAACAGTAGACTTCATGTTCTTCCTGCAACTTCAAAATACTGTGATATTTATCCTTTGGCCACAATTCTTTCTAAATCATTGACATATAGAATATATACGGTTTCTGCATACAGTTTATACAAAGTACTATATTCCAAGACATCCAGTAATTGAGAGTTTTCTGAAGGAGCTTAGTAGTGGCAGCCTCCGTATTGATACTTGGTAAAAGTTGCTTTTAATTGGAGTTACTAAAAATTGATAATCAGTTGATAATTGACCATTTGTTTCTGACTGCACAGTGTAATAACAGAAGAGTCCTTCCTCCCACCGCTCATGACTTTTACTAGCATCCAGTAACAGATCCGGATTGCAATGTCATATTCTTGAGAAAGATGGGGTTGGAGAGTGTTAATAAATTACACTGTTTCTGTGAGAACCATTGTATTTCAGTAGTCTGAATTCAGGCTGCAAAGTACTGTAAACCATTGATTCCTAGAAACTTCAGAAGCTGTGGCCTTAAGTCCTGCTGGCAACAGGTGTCAAAGGAGCTCGGCGAAAAATTGTGAGTCGAACAGCAACTCCGTCCAGATAGTTTGTGCATGGTGTCGCACACATTGCTCACCAGTAACACCGTGGGACCTTAACCTGGTTCTGTCAGCTCTGCAGAAGCCTTCCTTAGGACCTTTTAGGATAGCCCCTTGGCTGACCTCACTCAGAAGGAGACCCTTCCTGGTGTTGCACAGGGATAAGGTTGTCCTGAGGCCAAAATGGTTTCCTATTGCCACCTTAACCAGGACATTGTCCTTCCTTCTGTGTGTGTTTAGCTTCCAAGCATTCCAGGGGAATCCCTCTCCACTGTCCGGCTGCGGTATGTGCTGTATGAGTCTACCTCCATTACAGCTTCCATTTGACAATTGAATTCCCTGTTTGTCCTTCATGAGGGTTCCTGCAGGGCCTGCCTTCCCCTTTCTCCACTATTGCTAGGTGACTTAGCCAGGTCATATTTCATGTTTATAGCTTAAGGGCCTGTTGACACGACGTCTGTTTTCTGTGTTGACCTGATCCGTACGCTCCTGCACTAAAAATGCATCCCAATGTATCCCTATGTGTTTATTGGCTACAGTTCTCACGTGCCCAGTCCGTTCAGGTTACAACAGAAAAATACTGCATGTCACATTTTGTTTTGTCAGGAAACCGAAAAAAAACATCAAAAACGCACTGCACTGCAGCTAACATACTGACAGCCCCACTCCAGCAAAAAAAAAAAAAATATTTTTTTTTAACTGGAACGCATCAAAAACGCGGCAAAACACATAGCACCGCGTCTGCTGATCCGGACCTGAAACTCATGTGAACAGGCCATCAAGGTTAGGTTTCCATCCTACTTTGTTAATGTGCACTCAACTAGATAGGTCAGTGCTTCATGGACTTTTTTTTAGCATCGGACATCTGTCTCCTAGAATTGCCCGGCTGTCGCCTGGTCTCTCTGTTTACACCTTTGCCAAGTTTTGCCAAGTGGATGTTCAGGCCCCAGCTGATGCCAGTTTAAGATGTAAGGTGTTTTCAGTATATTCCAATTTCCCTACCTGTTCTCACGTTCGCAGTCCGTTCAGGTTACAACAGAAAAATACTGCATGTCACATTTTGTTTTGTCAGGAAGTGTGGCCCGCTGAAATTACCACTTTGTGTGGTTCCTCTTTAAAAGCGGGAAATTATTTTCAGGCATTACAGTGAAATTATACAATGCCTTAAAATGAGTACTTTAATGCTAAATATATATTTATTTTCCTTTACCGCCTCACCTGCTGTTTTGTGTCTGTTTTAGTTATCCAGAAAATGGAGTTGTGGAAATCGAGTCTTGCAATATGCGACCCAGAGCAAGAACCATCTTGAAGTGGAATGACCTCAAAGTGGGTGAAATTGTAATGGTGAATTACAACATGGAGACACCAGAAGAGCGTGGGTTCTGGTTCGATGCTAAAATAACAGAACTGAAGGAACATTCTAGAACTAACAAAGAAGTCTATGCAAAGATTTTATTGGGGTATGTGCTTGCACAATTCTATTACAATTTTTTTGTAACGCTGTACAAAGTTACAAGCAGAAGGGATCGTGGTAAAACATTTATATATGTATGTAGCAAAAGGGTATACCTCATTTCTCCTCTTCTAACCAGCATACCGTCTAGATATGAGGGTACTGATGTATGAAAGCTAGAACAGGAAAAATAGGACTTTTATATTTGGCAGCCAATCAGATTTTAACTTTGATTCTGTATTGGGGAAAATGGCAAAAGTTTGGGGGGTTTTTTCTTTCTTTTTTTGCGGCAGTTATGAAGCAACCCCACTACCTTGTGATAGTCTGTAGTACACTTTATCTCTTCAAGGATATGTGCTAAGTTTCAACATGCTGAAACCTGTCAGTGTGGTGTAACGGAACAGAACTTTTTTTCTTTTATTGGGGAAATTTCAGTTTAACCTCCTGATTATCAAGGATGTATTCACACCTCGGCTGTCCATCTGTTAGCTAGCCAGTGAGGTGTAGAATATGTCATGGCAGTCAAAGAGGTTTAAAGAAGCTCACTGGCAGATTCTTCAGGACGGTAAGGGGGAAACCAGTGAACGTGAATCTCTTGTTCACTGATATCCTGTGGGAATTAATCCAAAAGCACTAAATGTCCAACTAGCACCAGGCTTTAGTGGAGAAGGAGACTAGTGACTCTACAAGATGTCTATTACACTGCATACATGGTGTATCCCTTCATACCAAAAGAATTAAAAGTTTGTACTACGGGAGATGGCAGAAATCGAGAAAGATGGACTGCCTGCTGCAGATGTTCTTTCAACCTGTGTTGAAATCACTGGGAACTGATATAGGATTGTCCTAAATTTTGCTACATTTCACAAGTGCGGCCAATAATATTTATTTTCATATTAAAGATTCTAAATCTTTTATTAGAGGAACTTTACCGTCATGTTTAAAAGGACAACAACGTCACCTTTACAGTTGTTTAGTATTGTCAATCTACAAACAGATACTTATAGGCTTTTTATTCGATGCATAACTTATTTTTCTTTTACTCCCCATTCTTCTCATAGTGGCCATTATAAGGGCAGAATAATGTATCTCCCTTTACTTCCTGGAACTCTGGCAGATGTGACTGGCACATGTGACCATGCACACCATCTCAGGGGAAAAAATACCTTTCCCTGAGATCTCATGAGATTTCCCTTTAATGTACTGCTGATGTAACCTTTGCAGGATGCATCTCTTAGGCCTGGATTACATCACTAATGTCTAAGAGGACCAGGAAGTGGAAAAACATTCATTGCAAGTGAAAGCAAAAAACATTTAAGTAATGAATGTAAGATGATTCCAGAGCTGCATGCCGATGTGATTTTTAGTGAGAGGGGATAAAGGGCCGCTTTAAAAAGTAATATAGAATATTAATTTACAGTTTTTCCAGCCAGAAATTGCATTTCACTACACTTCTGTCAGCTGGAATCTAAGTGCTCTGTGCACACAGACTGCCCTTTTCTCTTATCTTCAAAGGGACTCATCCTAGCATTGCTGGGACTTCAGGTATTGTTGATACATTAGGAGCTATTTTAGTGAGTTCACTGGCTACAGCAAGGCTGTTCATAAAAAAAAAACCAGGATACCATCCAATGAGTACCAAACGAGTGACTCAAAATATATGGAATATACCAGGAGCACCAAGCCAACAGAGTACAAAATTCTTTAATAATTCTCTAGCACCACCACCATATAAAACAGCCAATGTATTTTGGGGGCCACAAACTCACCTTTCATCAGATGTTAAAGATTTGGAATCTTACATGGACTCAGGGACCCACTTAAACAAACCAATCTGTATTTATATGTGTATTGGAAATTCAAAATAAACAGTTGGAGGTTTTCCCATTGCTAGCAGTAGTGTGCTGGACTTCCAGCACACTGCTGCTAACACTGTCCAACACTCTGAGTGTTTATTTTTTTTCCTAATCTGTCCCTATTGAGTACAGGAATCCCTCCCATTATGACATGCATCATGGCAAAGGGAGGACTGCTTGCCCATACAGTACATATGCCCCTGTGCTTCAAGAACACGTTATGGGGTTAATTGACTGCTGATTTAGCTATAAGAATGCTTACTTGTGCATTGTGAATGTTAGTAAATAGGGTGAGTCTGTATTCACATTATATACCCAGTAATGCATCTGGTTTTGTATTTCTTTTATTCTTTTTACTCCCTCCCCACATAATTGAGTTAAAATAAATACAGGCCGCCCTATTTAGCAGCATGCCCTTTGCGCGCGAACAGGGTTTGCTGTTAATAAATCACATTCTTACTAATTGATGTGCGCAGTTCTGAAAAGAAAGTGTCTAATAAGGCATTACAAGTGACAGTGCTTTTCAGCTAACTATTACAAACTATCATTTTTCATTGAACTTCGAGCTTTTTTTTATTTTTTAGTTGCTGTAGGATGCGGTCATTTGAACACTAGATCTTCTATGGAAGTAGGCTAGCTGATGATGCAAGTGTAATTTCATTCATAAAATGAACCTAAACAGGATATTGTCCTGAAAAAAACTTAGAATACATTGGCTAGCAGTGACATGCATACACTGATCTGTTCTAATTTGTTCTCCCCTCAAGCAGTACTACATAGAAGACACATTGTACACAACCCTCTAGACTTTGCTGCTTTAACATTGTTTTTTGCTCCTTGTTTTCCGGTATCTTCATTGCTATAGGGAAATATGGACTTTGTAGATTTTGTTAAGAAATTCTCCAGTCAATGGCTGGGCATGCCATAATAGGACCATGTAATGTTTGTATGCCTTTCAAGAGTACATATTCCATTGTGTATCTCATTGTTCTTGCAGAGAACAACTTAAAAAATGTTTGTCTAGAGCAGCGGTCTACTAGGCCCATGTCACAGGAGTACATTTTATGGCAGCTACAAAATAACTCTGCTTGGTGTTTTTTGCTAGAATAAAATGAAATGCATTGCGTGAAAGGTCTGTACTGCAGTATTTGGCTCGGTCACTGAATGTGTGACTTTGTGTAGCTTTTGGAGCTGGCTGTAGAATCTCCGGCTTTAGAAGTTTGTTATGTTAGCCAGTGCAGCTGCTGATTATCATGGTGCACCAGTGATTTGTAGCTGCATTGATAATCATTGTAGTTCACTACAGCTGCAACTCTGTAGCTGGCTAATAATACCAGAGAGAATAAGCCAAGACATGTGGCTGCTACAACCTCTGCTATGAAGTTGTAAATGTGGAATGGCTCTTAGGACCATGTCGGATGAGTGATCCTAATGCTGATGACGGCTCACAAGGAGCAGGATTGCTAACGGACCACTTGCGTTTTTCCCATGGAGTTGTTCCTTTTCTAGGCAGAACAGTGATAAGTAACTCAAGGGGGCGATTCCAGTAGGCCTGGGCCTGACATGGCCCTTAAGCTTACTAGCAAGTAATCAACCTGGTAATCCGACCTGCACCTGACTTGGTAACATTGAGGAGAATTAACACAGACTGCCTCTGCCACTCTTCTAAACTGATAAAATGGAGCAGACCCTGCTCCCAATTAACAAAGAGATCACAAGCCCCTTTGTTGAATAGTATTGTTTTTGCCTTGTTTTCTTTGCGGTTTCTGTGCCACGAACAGTATAGAGAGCTGTAGCTGCTTCCTCTGGCGCTCTCTGTCCACTCGCCTGCTCAGCTGAGAGCGAGAGAGGAGAAAGGCTGTTAACCCTGTGTTTGCCAGAGGTAACAGCCAGACATATAGGCAGAGAAATGAGCGTTCCCTGCCTATATGCAGGCTCTGACCATGCAGTGTGTTTACTGCATGGGCGTAGAGAGCCATGTGGGCTGTCTGCCAGGCTACCAACAGACAATTCACAACCCATACGCCAGGTTCAATCTGGCATTGATCTTTGACAGTTTGCTATGTTAAATCTAGCCAAAACACAGCTAAAGAAGATTTATGGAAGGTTGTAAATCTTACTGTGCAGTGACATATTGCATCTAAGTTTTCTTGAAGCTTTTCTCACAATTAAGATACTTGAGTAATTAAATTTTTTTTCTTTTTCTTTAGGTACTATAAATGTTGTACTTCCCTCTGATTGAACAGCTGAATTAAGCTGGCCATTGGCATTAGATTGGTTGGATCTGACACCTGAAAGATAATTTTTTGCCATATAGAGATATTAACCTCACCATACACATTTATGGCTCTGAGAGGAAGAGCACAGCCAGACATGGAAGGTGCCAACTTATGGGCCTATTAACACATCTCCAGACCAGTGAATTTTTTATCTGCACCAAAAAACGCATATACATTAATTCCAGTGGTTTTAACGGAGGCTAGTTCACACCAATTAGTTCAGTTCCAGGGCTGTTAACCTCCCTGGCGGGATGATTATTATTTTATTTTCCTTTTGTGCTTTATCTGGTTTTTTTTTTAAACTTTTAAACTTCCCGCCGGTTCCGCCCCCCTGCGACGCGGATGCTCGCAAGGGACGGATGCCGGCATCGGCCGGAGGACACAAGGTGGATCGCGGACAAGGTAAGAGACGCTACGCTGTATTCCCGAGTGTGGCTCGGGGTTACCTCTTATGGTACAGAAAATTAACCCCAAACCACACTCGGGAATACCGCCAGGGAGGTTAATTAAAAAAAAAAAAAAAACTACAACAGCATGCATTTTTTTCACACTGAAATGCACAAAAATGCATGTAAACGCACCACATTGGAAATACAACCCAAGCAAAACCAATAGAAGTGCCAGAATGCATAAAAAAAGTGCATACACGCATCCAGATCTGGTCTGGAGATGGTGTGAACAAGCCCTCAGGGAGAGATTTTCTGCTACTATGGCACTATTTACAGGGAAAGATCAGTATCATGTTAGCAGGTTCTGACCACAGGGGCCACAAACATGCCCCAATGCCCTCTCTTCCAGAGTCTGTCCCTGAATCCATTCTAGCTGTATCTGCTTCAGCACATTCAGATGAGAATGACAACTGTTCCTATCCA